GGCGTGGGGGGGGGGAGGGGGGGTACGAGGGGATGACGTGAAAATTTTGATAAAAAGTATTACAGAAATGTATAACGAGAAAGATTAGGACTGGACCACCCCTTGATTAGCCAAGGGAAGACGAGGGGTGCCTTTGCCGAAGCAATTTTACAGTAATTGGGGAAAATTGTTCTTTTACGTATTTCAAGGCTCGTACCGCGCGATACGTCTCGCCGCTTCCGCAGTGATAAGACTCGACGTTTAAAGGGCGTTACGCAGTAAGTGGACAGGAGAAAATTTGTTGTCTCGGGTAAATTCTATTTGTTCGATGTTCCATGTTTATCTGTATTTTCCTAAATTCTCTCGGGGTATGTCTTAATAATGGAAGAAAATTTTTTTTTTTTTTTTTTTTTTTTTTTTTTTTTTTTTTTTTTTTTTTTGATGTACACAGATACGCCCGACTATTATCAGTATTGGACAAATAAAAGGCGGCTTATCGGCCGTCTGATGCAACGTTGACTTGGATTTCATCGCAGGCATTAAAAATCAATAGAAAATACATTATCAGGAGTTTAGGCCTTGACAGCAGGTATTAAGACAATTTTGAGAATGGAAGGACGAGGAGAGGAATGGTCACGTGATCGATTCTTAAGTTTCGAGGCTCCCGTAAGAAGTAACGGCTGAGCGGAATCTGTGGTATCGCGATCTATTTACCCGCTAAGGGTTCGCGCTAATAGAGACCCGCGGGGGGAACGGCGTAAATGACGACACAGGTAAGGCTGGGTGTTAGGGGTCAGGGAAATGTCCTCGAGGATCCCGAAGAGCGCGAGGATCACGTGCAGCCACGCGAAACCGAATCCTCGCGACAAAGGAAACAAGTCGATCCTTTGTTTGGCGACAAGCTTCCAGCTTAGACCTTTCTTCTTCAAGGCTGACCCACATTTAACCGAGGGTTACACGGTCCGGTTGGCTCGGGGCATAATAAAAGGGAGAGAAAGGGTTAAATCGAAATACAATCTTTTTTTTTTTTAACCGAAGGCCGTACACCGTCCTTTCATTAGGGGGGTTCTCAATGCGTTCTTAAAAACAGCCCTTTTTTTACTGTACAGTCACGACACGGGTACCAGGTACCGAGGGTTAATGAAACCCTTTTTTTTTTAATTGGGCGGATAGATAGTTATAGGGTAAATGAATTAATTTCATTGTATCGATCCAACGGAATGATTCTAGCAGAAACGTAGCGGTATGGCGTAATAGTTAATTGCATTGTTATTCCATGGCGAATGGGAACCAGTGCACGAGGATTTTTGGGGTTATTGACATTTCCATTGTGTATGCTGGAAATACGAGTTGGAATAGGGATGCTGGAGAGCCTTGAGCCTGGCTCAGTTTGAGGTCCTGTCTCTTCTCGAGAAGGACTCTCGAGCTCCCCTTTAAGGTCTTTCCTTCCGTAGTCCCTTTAGTCCTTTAGTCCTCCCAGCGGGAGTTCATTGCACGGATCTCCTACTGTGTATAAATCCCCCTCGCTACCCTCGGGATCCCGCCGCCCCTTCGTGGGTCCCCTGGCTACCCAGGACCTACTAAGTAATATCGACTCGCACGAAGTTCGTGAAAATCGCTCGACCAGCCATAACAATGGGTTAAGGTGCGTTTACATTTCGTATGGGCAAACTGTGCGATAAATAGGAGGGGAGTGAATCGGGGAGTCTTTCGGTCTTCCGAGCCAGCTGACTAGTTCACTGTGCATTTTACATGAACGTATTAAGGATGCGCGCGATGGAATTTTTTCCAAGTCTGTTTCTTTACGTTTAACACATATTTGTACTGGTTAGCCCCATAACGGTAAATCCCGTTGGGTCGTTAGGGCTGAGCGTATATTTGGGTACGGCTCCGTTTGCGGGGTAAACTATTTTCCCTTTGTTCGGCAAAGGGGTGAAACTTTATCGAGGGTCGTATGTAAATTGGATACCGGGAAGGATAACCGGAAGTGTCGATTATAAAAATATTCGAGTTCACGTAGGAAAAGCCAAATCTGGACCGGATCTCAAGATAAATGAAATCTGCGAAGTGAAATTAGGGTGGGTTTCTATTTATTATTCTTTGTTTCCCTTATTTATTTGACAAGGGATATACGGAGCCCGGGTAGTACGAGTTCTTGCGACAGAGTTATTTGAAAAGTTGTGGAGCCACCCTTATAAATTCAGGTTTTTTTTTTTTCTTTCTTTCAGACAGAAGGGAGAGCTCGGCCCACGGCTATAATTTCCATAGAGACTCCACAATGGACCTGGATGATATCATTGAGAAATTCCTTTCTCCGAATGAAACAGGAAAGCAAAAGAGAGCTACCTGTCAATCAAAATATTCGAATTCTGTCGAAAGGTCCAAGCAGAAATTAAATCTCGAATTTTCGTCGTACAGCAAACATTTGAAATAAGAAAACTTAGTAGATACCAGAAATATCTGAGATACTTTATACGGGCGGTTTCTATCTGGCGACGAATGGACGATAGCAGGACGGCCACCTGTGGAAATGAAATTTCTTTGAAAATTCCGTTAAAAAATATATAAATAGTTAACAGCGGCTAACGGCAAAGGATAAGAGAAAAGTCGTACGATAATTCGCTCGTCGCCGTAGTGGTCGCCCGATGAAAACTCGTCCAATTGATTTTCACGATATCCTCGAATCTTCCACTCGACCGAAAGTCACGTCCTACGCTAACGTAAAGTCTTCCACGTGCCGAAGCCGAAGTCGCTCCAGTTTCACCGGTGGCCCGAAATATTATTTTCGTCAGAGCCGGCGGCACCGGTTCTTCCGGTTTCCATGATCTTTCACACATAGATACCCAGCACAGTGAAACCGACTCCTCTTCTCGTCAAAGGTTAACAATAAGTGTCAAGGAAGAAGCCGGGAGATTGCAGTGTAAAATGAAAAGTAAAGCGTCACACGCGAACACCCGACGTCAATCGCGTTATCGAAACTCTCCTTCTCATTTTTCTTCGCATATGGATCC